AAAAAAAAAAAAAAAAACAACCAAAAAAAAACCAAAACAAAACAAAATCAACAACAGAATATATATAAGTATGCTAACTAATCCAAATATTTACAATGCCAGTTTTAAATATCTTTTTGAGGAAAGAAATTATGTGAGTTTTCTGTTCACTTTCGTAGTTCAAATATCATGGACAAGATGTAAAAAGCACAGATCAGCGCCTAGTAATAAGGCATTTTCAGACCTTATACTAAGTTCTTAACTGAAAGCTATTTAAAAATAATAATAAAAAAAGAAACACATGTAAATTAAATTATTTTTTACCAAATAAAAGCACAAAAAAGTTCTGTTTTTAATATTATGGAAATTATTTTAAAAAGTGAGTTGACAGCTCCTGAGTTTGTAAGTTGGGTTCTACAGTTTTTCTTTTAATAGAAATTCTCATTTCCAAGTTTATACTAATGTTTCCTGTTGATGTTTAAACAAAAAAAAGACAATAATTATACTTCTGTACTAAAAGGTTACTAAATCGGTGTTGCTGGTTCTCTCCCTGACCCATGTCTACTATTGTATTGTTCTAAGTGCTTTCTCTGATTCTTTCCTTCTTTTCCTGTGTACATATACACATGCAGCTACATAGACTTACATGTGTCATAACCAAAGAAGGAACATGCATTGTAAGGAGCTGGGCTGATGTTTTGGCTTTTCTGTGACTGTGTTTAACAGTCTTAACTTTCATCAGCTGTGGTCTGCAATAAATACAGATCTCAAATGGAGAATATCTGGATATTTTCCACTATGAAATGGTTTCAGTAAAAGAACAGTTTAATGAGAAGTTAAAGTATAACTTAAAGTCATTATGCAGACAACCTGAAGCTGGGAGCAAAACTGCACTGAAGTGCATTATGCTTAAAAAGGTTGGCTGAAGTTCCAGCTGGTTAAAGAGAACCAAGGAGGGGGCATCCGTAATCCAGGGGTGTACACAAGGTGCATATTTACAAACAGATTTACAGATTGCACTTTTAAAACAATGATAAAAGTTTCATTCGTAAATTCTGAGAGATCACTTAGAATGGTACTAAGTTAGAATGGTACTCATATTTCCTTGCAAAAATCTGGAGAGAGGTTTTATTCTTGCCATTCCTCCTTGAAGATCCAATGAGAATCTTTGAGAGATTACTAAGATCTGAGATTGTATCTAGTGGGAAAGGTTCAACACTGAATTTGAACGTGTACTGGAAAACAGAATTTCTGAAGTTTCCTTTATGTTCAACTGAAAAACAGAATACTTATTTCCTGCGAAAATGCAGTCCTGTGCTGATCTGAAAATGCCTGTGTCAAAGTGAGCATGTACATGATCAATGTACAGGACATGTACATTAAGGGAAATGCTAGCACCCCGGATAGTTAGGATACTGCGTAGTATTTTAGAGAATAGGGACTAACTTTTCACTACCTTCAAGTAATAAGCATGTATTTCTCTTTAAGATTATTTTTCTCATGATGCGTAATTAGAAAGCATGTTCTCCGAGAGAGATAGGAAGATTAGATTGTAACTTTAGTATGTTTCTTATTATGATCACATAACTCACTTGTAAAAACATACAAACCAATTCAGAAAATCAGTGTTCCTTGCTGGAAGTTGAATTGCTGCACTCTGGCAGTTAACAGCCACGAGCAAAGAGCAGTGAAACATCAGCGTTGTCACACTGTGAGACACAATAATGTCACATTATGAGATGCAACAGGAAATACCTGCTGTCGTGTAGGAGCTCTGTTGTAAAGATACAGTATTTTACCAATACAGTTGGTATTTTCAGGACAGCGTTCAACTGATAACATCCTTAAAATCTTAAGAGGAAATCATCCTTAAAAGGAAATCATCCTTAAAAACTCTTGCCTTACTACATATAAATCTCTAAGCAAAGAGTTGGATTAATGGTATCTTCCTTTGGTTCGTAGTTCTGCTTTGTCTTTGGTCATTGACTCATAATACAGTGGGAGAACACAAAAGGCAATGATGCAACTTAAAAAATGAATTCCAAAGGAATGGATTAAAATTGTGTAAGGGAATTCTCTGTTTATGTCTTTCTTTACTTACCAGGGGTGTGACAAACTTGCAGATTTTTGCATAATTACAATGGATCGTAGATTTGCTTGCCAGCTAGGTAGAAGAAGAAGAATCATTATTTGCCTTCTGGTTTGCATTTACGTACTTGGAACTTCCTTCCATGCAGGACATGTCTGTTGTATGTTATAGTAATGAAAGAACCTGATGTGCTTTTTTAAATGAACTTGTTCCAAATCTAGAAATTATAGTATTTAATGTATAATTGAAGTTAAGATGTATTGTTGTGACTCTCTAGTAGGGGGTAAAAATTGTATCATGGTAGCATATTGGTGGTTCTTTTTCCTATTTGGATTTGACTTTTCTTATGTTATTTCAAAGATTTTTTCAATTCTAATGAAAACACTTCTACATAGAGATGTTCAGAAATAAGCAAGTCTTAACTTACAGTGACCTGAATGAACCTAACAGCTTAATAATTTCCAGTTTAGTAAGTCTGTAATTGCTGTAAGTGACAGTAAGCCAAAACTTAAAGATCATTATTGTTTCTTTTAAAATTTGTTAAAGTAAATAACAGACATTTTGTTATAGGAAGAATGTAAAAAGCTGTTTTTTAAGGACAGAAATAAGAAGAAATTCGAGAGCACTAGATATACTGCTTTTACTGAAAGAGATAGATTTTATAGATACTGCTAGGTTATGATTCTGGAATTCTGCATGTAAAATAGATGAGGCTCTGTTCAAGTGAAAGTTGTGACAAGAGCAGCAACGTTATAAGAACAGCATAGTGCAAAGCTAGTACACTGCATTCTGCAGGCTTTTGTTTGATACTCAAACCTGTTCCAGCTCACTGCTGTACTTGAGACAAATCTGGTAACTTGTTTCATTCACTGCAGCTTGGAGGAAAAACCTACACTGTGAAAAGGAGGTTCATATACAGAGTTATATGGTTTGTATCTGAAGTGTGTTCATTTCAATAAGATCTTTAAAAAAAAAAAATAATACTCTAAGAAAATAAAAACCAAATGGTTGGCACTGTATAATAACATGAGCTTTTAGATTTTATTTAACTTCATTGTGTATTTTTCAAGTCCTACATTACCAAGTGTTTGTGTTCTTTTTTTTTGTTTGTTTGTTTTAGCTTATTTGCACTAATCTTGATGAACTCAGGGAATTAATCACAAAGATTGAGAATGAACTCAAAGATCTGGAGGACATTAAAAAGAAATCGGTATGTGACATAAGTTTTCTCTTGTATGAATGTGAAACTGTGCCAGTCAGCTGAAGATTTTTTGCCTTCTCATTGATTGCATGAAGCCTCAGTATGGTTGGTGCCTGTATTCTCTAATCTTAATCTTTTCTGTATGTATTGTTCTGTTCGCAATTTTCTTATAAGGGAATTCATTAACTATATTTTAACACTTCTCACTGCCAGAAAAAAATTGGAAGCAGTTGTGATACCTTAGAAGAAGCAGTCTATTTCTATTAAATATGTGCCCTCTTCCCTTAAGACAAACTCATAACAGCAAGTAATTACAAGGCAGAGTTCTCAAATCTATCAGATCTTCCCTGAAACCTCTAAGATGCAGATTAGGATTCCTAACCCTGTTTATTTTTTTGAATAAGCTATTAAAATAGGCTTTGCTGAAGTGTTCCAGCAACTCAGTATCTTTTTTTGCAATGAGAGGCCCAAAACTGGGCACAGTATTCAAGATGTATTCTCATCAGTGCTGAGTGCAGAAGGAAAAATCACTTCCACGGTCCTGCTGATGTCGGTATTCCTGATGCAGGTTAGGATGCCATTTGCATTTTTAGCCACTTGGGCATACTGCTGTAATCATGTTCAGCCAGCTGCCAGCCAGCACCCTTTGGTCATTTTCTGCCAGGCAGCTTTCCAGCCAATCTTCCACAAACTGATGTTTGTCTGGAGAAGAGAATGCTCATTGTTCTTGACAACTACCTGAAAGGAGGTTGCAGTGAAGATATGACAAGTGACAGGATGCAAGAAAGCATCCTCAAATTGCTCTAGCAGAGCTTTACATTGAACATAGGAAGAATTTGTTCATGGAAAGGCTGGCAAGGCTCTCAAATTGGCTGCTTAGGGAGGTGGTGAGAGTCACTATCCCTGGAGGTGTTTAAGAGATGCATGGATTTGTTTTTTAGGGATGTAATTTGGAGGTGAACTTGATAGTGTTAGATTGACCTTTGGGCTTTGTGATCTTCAGGGGCTTTTCTAACTTAAATGATTCTGTGATTCTGTGTTTTGTATTGGAATAGGTTGAATAGGAGAGTATATCTAATTTAAATGGTCACCTACAGCCAATTCTTTCTAATACTGATTTTTTTTTTCTACTAAACTTTTGGGAGAAGTTTCTGTGACATTTCAATGGATAGTAGTGGTTAAAAATTTTGCTTTTTCTGTACCTTGGATATTCTGTCACTAATTTGTGTGAATGTCCTTAGTCTGGATCAGAAGTAACTTATATTTTTAATTATGTGAGTATTGGAGAGATGGTAGAGGAGTATAAGTGTAATAGCTGTTACGATATCTAAAGGAATAAAGATAGATGACACTTGAAGTTAAAGTTGCTAAATTGCAAATTTGTTTTAATGTAGGATTGTCCAGTGGTTGTCAAACAGACTGTGTCAACCATAGAAGAAAAAGACAAAAAAATGAGAGTACACATTAGCATACTAATAATACTATTATAGATGAGACTTTTCCTACTGGTAGAATTATACCAACAAGACTTCTTCAAGGGTATACAAATGCTAAATATGTCATAATCGCTCTTTGAACTGAAATCTGATAATGTCATTATGTAAATAAGTTGCATGACTTCAGCAGGAATACTATGTTTAGTTCTAATCACACCATCTTAGAAAACCAACAAGCTCTTAAATACAGGGTTAAGATACAACTCATTCAGTGGCCAGAAGTTGTGAGGTAAGAACAATTTTTCTGTGTGCTCACACATTTCTGTGCTTTGAGTCTTTAAACATCTATGGTGTTAGAAATATTATGTAAGAAATAAGAGTAGGATTAATTGCTGAAGAATTGATTAAAAAGGAACAGTGAAATGTTGATTTTAAAAATCATTCAGATTGCATACTTTAAAAAAATACAAAGATTTTAAGTCAGATGAATAGTCAGCAAACTTGGCTAGACATTTTGCAAGGGAGGTTATTAAAGTTGCATTTTGTATGTCAATAACACTATGCATAATTAAGTTAGGTAACTTCAAATCTGGAGGAGATGCAGATTTTCTTTATTCATCTTTGATGTAATTGACAGTGGCATCCATAACAGAGTTTCTTGCAGGTTTTCTGAAGTTTCTAATGTTTTTCGTAAAACATAGCTCTCTCATAATGCAAATTTGGCTTAATGTGAAAATGTATTTTAATATGATATATTATGATAATTTTGAGGCTTTCGTGGCCTTTTTTCTTTTTTGGACCTGAAGATGATGAAAATGGTGGTGGTCTCACTGTATTACTGCTTCGTAGTAGTTGTTTTGATGACATAAAAGAAATCTCTACTCCAGAACTTGGAAGTATTGGAGGCTGTAACAGAAGAGCTGAGCTGTAAGACTTCTTTAACATGAGTAAACATGCTGTTTGCTGGCAATTTTTGTACATAGTTGGACTGGTGGTATCTGACACTTCTCAGAAATGAGCTTGGAATGACATGAGATTCTTAGTTCAAACAAGTTTTGTTTGGCAGAAGGAGCGCAAATTAGATCAAGGTTTTGTAATGGAAGGATATGGATAATTGTAGATGTGAGCATTACTACCAATTCCTCCCACAGCAGTGAAATAATAAACCTGTTTGAAATGATGTTCACTGTTTGGCTGATTAAAACAGTTCAATTCTGTACTCACTTGAACATCTCCAATGCTTTTTGAATTAACTGTAATATAACATTTAAAAAGTTTACATTTCTGTTTGATTCCTGATGAGTTCATTGTAACAACTATGAGATTTGCATTACTACAAGCTTGAAGTAACTGTTTAGAGAAGAAAATGAAATTTGACCTCAACTCTTCAACATTAAGCTGAGTCTTAGTTTTAGCTCTTTCCAGACTACTTCACTCTTGAACTCTAGCCACAGCTCTGACATGAGGCTGCAATTTCACATATGCCTTCAACTGACATAAGCGAAAACTGCTGCCAAAAAACAGTTCCTATTCTCCATGTCTCTGGCAGCTTCTGTTTTCTCTACCACCCTGTAAGGGAGTGTAGAAAAATTCTTTGTTCAAATGCATGAGAGTCTGTTGTAAACGTAACTTCTCTTTGACTGCTGCTGGGGTAGTTTTAAAACAGATTAGTATCCTTGAGCAGTTTATCGTGGAGTTGCACAAATAACCACTTGTGTCCTGCCGCAGCTCAAAGGATCATTCTGAGGACAGAATTGAGCATCTGCAGGCAAAAAGAAGTCAAACTGCCTTTTGAAGAAGTGCTTTTCTGTGGCAGTTGTAGTAGTTACTGATATATTACAGTCTGAGCCAGGGGTATTCTGAAGTTCTCAATCCCTTCAGCTACTAAACAGTTCAACTCCTTACCACCTAATAAATTTCAGGATGGAGAGAAGAAACTAAGTTAAGCTGATTTATTATTTATTTGACTTTCTTGATGGAAAAAAGTAAGCTGAAGATGCAGAAGGAGGACTTAGTTGACTTGAATCAAATGGAAGAAGTATAAGTTCTGAGCATCATCTAGTAAAACGATGGAGGATTGCTTTACAAAGAGTGTGTAAGATACAGTGTCTTAGAGCTTTGGTGCTTTGCTGCTTGTCATAAGTAATGTGTTCTGTTACATCTGTTGTGCGAGGAGCACTGTAAGGGAAAACAAAGGGAAAATGGCATATTAGAACTTGAGAGAATACTTCAGGAGTTGCCCTGTGGAAAGGTTCCATCTCTTACATAATTGGTAGAACTTTTCCAAGGGCATCTCCTGAAGTCTGGGCAGAGGATCTGCCCACACTGTATTCTGAAATGATATGATATGTCATTGCAATTGTAAAGAATTTGTTTTGAGTAGTGAAGATCTAAGTTTTTAGTCTACCTTTACAGGAAAGTACACAATACTGGATCTTACTTTTCCATTTCCTTATTCTTATGATTCTCTTAGAATGTCTTAAAGTTTTCATCAGGTCAAATGTAGCATGCAGTGTGGAGGCGTGTCACAAATGAGTGCCAGCACTGAAATAGTAGAGCTTTTTGTCTCTGCCTCTGTTTAGTAGCCTTGCTCACTGCTAAAATGCAATTATATTTTGGGTCTCTAGTGCATCTATTACACTCAATTATCATTGAGTGCTAGGTTTCATTGGGATAGTATCTTAGATGATGGCTTTTAAACTGTTCTCTCATGCCACTGCTTGGCATGGTGGAGCACAACAAGTTTTTTAACCGGGGAGTTACAGTCAGTCAGACCTTGGTCAATTGTCTTAAAACTGTTGATGTAAGCTAAATTTCTGGTAGTTCTAATTTTGCTGCATAGAAAATGTTTTATATTTAAAGGAAATCTAAAATTGTACCCTAGTGCTTTTTATTTCCCCTGAGGTATGCTAATTTGTTAAGAAGCCATTTGTCAATTGCTGTGTTTTTTATTTGGTTTTGTTTGTTTCCTGTAGTTTATCTGAAAAGTTAGGAAATAAGGAACTGTTTTAAATGAGGAACTTGCATTTTTAAAAAATTAGAAAGCGTTATTTATTTCTGTGGGCTTTGTGTGTGTGCATGCTGGTGTAAATGCCACATATTTTTAAAAAATGCATCTTGCTGTGCTTTTTCTGCGTTAATTTGATAATTAACATCCTTTCATTTTAAAGCAGTGTGAATAAAAAGTAGCATAAAAATTGAATGGATAGGGAAATAAATTACAAGAGAAAAATCAGATTCAAATAAAAACTTTCTGCTATGTTGCTAATACTGTGGTGGTTAAGATGCAGTGGAAGTTACCACTAGTCAGTAGACAGCCATAACTGAAGTAGAGTGTGCTGGCTAGAGACATTTCCCTTGAGACTGTACACTGTTTTTACCTTGTGTTTGCTGAAAATTTGGACTGTACATATAAACACGACAGATTATTTGAATTTAGACATTTAGACAATTAGGCATTTAGACATGTGCTATACCTAGCAAATGAATTAAGAAATGCAAAACAGCACTTTCTGTCCTGATAAGTACACAAGATAACTATTGTTTTTTGACATTTTGAATCCTTTTTTTTTTTTTTTAATATATTTTCTGATTTGTCAGGTAAAATCAGATGAAGGTGTGAATGGAAATTTCTTTGCTGCCAGATAATTCAAATCATAACTTCTTTAGATGTCTGGAGTCACTGGAGTTTGCTTGTGTGAAAATGTTAAGATGCTCTGTAAATCAGTTCTGTGTATTTAACTGTTGTATATTACAGCATGATTTAAATAATCTTTATGGTTTCTTGGTGTTGTTTAATATGAAACTGTGACAAGATTATAGATGCTTGTATCAAGTAGTGAACTTTTTTTTTTTTTTTTCAGATGTTATTTTGAACCTAACTTAATGGTTAACATGTTTGTAGTAAAATGAACAGGGCTGTGACAATGTTAGTCAATTCTAGACACTGCTCTATGTTTATGTTAGAACACAGATCACCTGGAGGAAGCATAAACACTTACAGATTCTGTGTTTCCTGAAATGCAAAACTGTATTTTAGTAGCGCCATTGGATTTGAATCATTACTTGCAAGCCTGATGGTAAGTGTCTTTTGAGGATGAAGAGGGGCTGGAGCCGAGGATTCCCATGGTTAAGTACATAAAATGATAAAAGGCAGGGTTTTCCAGAGTAGAAGGCACCAGACTGTCCCTGCAGGAAACATCAGACAAAGGTGAGAGGAAGGATGGAGAGTCAAGTTCACGATTAACTAGGGTTTGTAGCAAAAAGACTGAAAGTTGTATTATTTTGCAGAGGTGTGTAACAAGCTTGTGTTCTTGACTTTATAGTAAAAACAAGATAAAAACCTCCTTTATGAAGGTTTTGGGTTTTTTTTTTCTAATGTTGTTCGTCAAGGTTTCAGTTAGGCAGTTGTAGTGCCCATCACAGATGAACATCTTTATCTGTACTTTCAAACAGTGAATAAGTAGATGAGTCTTGGAAGTGCAGAATGCACACTTAGGCTCCATGCAGCCCTTAAATCCATACCAGCTATGGAAATCTGTATTTGGGAGTGCATCTGAAGATTCAAAAACCCACTCATTCAGATCAGAAGTTTTTAGAACTTCAGACATGAAATAGTTTGTGAGATCACAGAGGAATCCCACAGGAATACGTTGGGCCAGGGTAGAACAGTATATTCTCTGTCTGCTGTTGGTTTGCTTTTTTTGAAATTTGAAACAGGCTGTTGTTAAATTTGCTCATAGGAAACGCAAGTATCCAAAGTAAGGGAAGAGTATTGTCTTTTTTCACTGATTTGCATCATATTACTTTAAAAATACAATGGCAAAAATAATGCAAATTGGTTAATTTACTAAATGAGTTTTTAAAACTTTCTCTCTGTGTAAAAAAGTTGGAAATATTACCGCCTGTTGGTGGTAGAGGCGCTGTGTTACTACAAGGTTGCGCAGGGATTTTACTGGGTTAAATTTTCTTCAGTTTTTAGCTTGATTTAGGCTTCTTTTCCATATTCTTTTCCCTTCTCATTCCTTCCTTCTTATTCCTTCCCCAGTGAAATACGAGGGCTGCTCCAAAAGTAATGCTCCTATTTTATTATATTGTCCCACAATATCAGAGGCAGATGTTGGTGGTACAGCAGTAGAGCTTGCACCTTTCCTCCAGTATTCCATTACGTGTTGTTGCCCTGTGATAGATGCCAGCAGAGGGGCACTCTGACAGAACGGCGTCTGGCATGGATGCGCTTACAGAGCAAAGTTGTGGAATTGAATTTCTCCATGCATGGATATTCATTCATTCAGTACTCACTGATATTCATAGACACTTGCTGAATGCTTATGGAGACGAAGCAGTGGATGTGAGCACAGTGAGGTAGTGTGTGGTGCATTTCAGCAATGGTGACAGCACAACTAGGTCACTTCCATTAGAGCAGATTTTTGTGAGCACGGCATGCAGCCTCCTGTTAATCACTGCCAAAGATGCATACCTATTGGTGTTGACTGTGTTGAAATCCAGTATTTTGTAGCTGAGAATTTGCTATATCAAATAATTTTATTGTACTGCGTTGTGGTTTCCATGGAAATAAACAGGAGGCATTATTTTTTGGAGCAACCTATGCATATACTGTACTTGAAAATTTTGAATGTAAGGAGCCTCTGCTATACTTGTTTGCATTATATTACTTTATTAATGTACATGCAAACAAATCATATAGTATGAGAAAGCTGTGTTTGCTATTAGTTTAAACTTTAGATTAAGAGATCTTTGTTGCAAGTCATTATAGAAATAACATAGTTTTAATAGACCTGCTTGTAGTTTTGCACCTCAAACAAACTGTTTTAATTTCAGCCTATGTTGCTATGCAGCTTCTATTGTAATGGATCTAATTCTCATTTTCCAGCCTTTCTCCTAAAAACTTGATTTGTATTTTAATCACTTCCATAATAGTTTCTTATTACTTCTTTCTGATTTGCTTGCCTCTTTAAAGGACTCATAGGAGTCCAAAATGTTGAATTTGGAGACTGAAATAAGATTTTTCAATTCACTTTTACATTCACACAGTTTTGCATATTTCTGAGGAGAAACTGAGATGTACAGTTTTTGAAAAACCAATTGGCTAATTAATTGCACACTTTGAAGGAATATAGCGAATTTCAGGCTTCAGATTTTTAAAGCTTTCCACAGAATTACTTCCCTGCTATTTCTATCTTCTACATATCATTTCCACACTTTTGTCTTATTCTTCAGTTTTTCTTAGCTCCTTCAGTACCTCTTCAGCGCTACCTGTACTAAGTGCATTTTTTTTCACAATTGCTTTATCTTCACACAATTTTTTATGCCTTTCCTGGTATATAGATTAGTCTGCAAATAAATCTTTGCTAATATTCTTCACCTAGGCCACTTCTATCACATATATTTCACAATTCTAGATGTGTAGATATGAATTCTGCCAAACATATGAGTAGGTAGTCATGCATTTAATGTGGAACATTTTCATCGTAGAGATACTGCCATGTATTCAGAATATTTTTTTGTGCTCTGGATTTTGATCAACCAGAATATTTTGAAATATCAGGTAAGACCTGACAGCATGCACGGGTAGTTAGAACAAAACAGCTGGCTTTAACATGGTCTGCTGAAGAATACTGAAATGTTTGTATATCTACAGTTAAGAAAGACGAAATTAATGATAAACAATTAATAATTAATAGCTTAAAAGAAAAAGTGGCTTTTTTGTAAACAAGATGTTGTATGCATACAGTTTCCTGTTGCGTTATGGAAGTATAGGTTAGTATATATAAGCTCTCATACTTAAGAGTGAAATGTGATAGTTCAGTGGTGCTTAATTTCAGTGTTCTGAGTTAGTTTGGAAAAAGCAGTGAAATCATGCTGGTAATGAATTTTAAATTTGGGAGATGATCAATGCAGTGATAATCGAGTAGTGGTTTTGCCCAAACGACTAAATATCTGTCTAATGAGCATTTCATAGAGTTGTTTGAGTTGGAAAGGACCCTTAAAAATCATCTATTCCAACTCCCCTCCAAATAAACGGGGACATAGTAATGAAGTAAATAATGAGATGAGGACATGCCAATTAGCAAGATTTATTATTTTTTCTTAGGATATTGTATGTTTATTTTCTCATTTATTTGCAATATTTGACAAGAGAGTCTGGGAGACCATTCCAGGATATACTTTGGTTGGATTCCTGTAATGGAAGTGCAAGCTGAAGTCTTACAAAATAGCAACAAAACATTTGCGTGCTGACGTAAGATGTTCACCAGTCTCTTTGTTGGTTATAGATAAATGCTCAAAGATATAATTGATAAAGGGGTGTCATGAATGATTTTGTTTTATGCTTTTCTGCCAGCCATTCTTCCTGACTGCTCCATCACAGTCTTCTAATAATGCCAGAGGCTAGCTGTCGGTAGATAAAATGTTCAGAAGGACTTGCCAAGGGTAAATACGAGTCTTTGACTTGAAGGAAGTTGAGCTTTAAAAAGTAACGCTTAAACTTTTTCAAAATGAAAACATACTGTATTACAGATGTGGTTGCATAGTGTGAGTGATCTCATTTATTCCTTTTTTTTCATCAAAGTTGTCACTGAAGTTCTGAAATACCACAATATGGCCTATAAATTGATTAAGAGGAGCATTCGGTATCAACCAATCTTTGAATTGAAGGAAGTTATTAATCTCTTTTCTTTAGGTATCTGATGTCCAAAGCAGCTGCAGATCAACTCCCTCTCCATGTGACATCACTAGAAAACGCTAGCCTGGTGATGTCACATATACCACAGAACCCCGCTGCAGAATGGAGCAGGCCTATTAAGGGTAAGGTAAGTTTTCTCCCTCCACCACCACCCCTTTTCAACAATATTGCATGGTTTTATAAGATTTCTAATTTTCTTAATTTTATATCCGCAGGATATAAAGTAAAGACTAAAGAAAATCTTATAAAACTGCATAATATTGTGGTTGTGTGTGTGTGTGTTTATTTAAACAACAACAACAACAAACAAAACAAAACAAAAAAACCTCCCCTATAAAGTTCAGTCCTTACCCCATATATCAGTATCCTGGCTCCAGTCTGCTTTGGGGTTCCATGATGAGTATGCCAGAATAGTGTATGTTGGGACATCACGGAGAGTGGAGTCAGCATTCCCTGGCTGCTCTGGATGTCAGAAACCTAATTTTAAAAGGTAAGTTTTCAGTTCAAAGTGTGTTGAATGTCTCTGTGTGCATATATGGAAACATTCAGCACATTTCTTCAATTTTTTTTGTATTTGTGTTTTAAAATTTTAGTTGTAGAACGGGGTACGAGTTACATCTTGTCCTTTGTCTAGGCCATTGTTGATTTGTACTCAATGCCATGCGTTGTATTTCTGGAGGAAAGTACACGGTTTTGCTCATCACTATTTGAAAGAAAGTAGTAATTAGCAGTTCAGATTAATGTATAGAAGCAGTGCTATTGGGAATGTAAATTACAAGCCACACAAGAGCATAATTCTGCACACATCCAAGTTAGCTACTGGATATTTCTGCTTAAATATTTGGCTTGAAATGTAGACTGTTCAAGCTTAACGAAACTTAAAATTAGTTCCAGTACACTGAAGAGGAACAGTTTCTTCACACATATTAAAAGCAATATCTTCATTGACAGAGAACTTTTTCCAGCAAAGACTATCTTGGGTTGATGTGATTGAGTATTTTTATTTCATGTCTACTAATAAAGCCCTATTGGATTTCATAGACAAGTAAGGTAGTGCATCCAGATCTGCAGATCTGCATGCCTACCATTTATGAGAGAACTGAATTGTGAAGCTGTAATAGCTATTTAATTGTATAAAATCTTCTGTTCCACTGCTTCACTCATTGTTGAATTTCATATGCAACTACATTTTTATGTCTTTGAGTAGAAAGTTCTTTGCTGTTCTGTGCTGGTAAGTATCTTTCGTACCCTGAGGTGTTGCATTCTATTTATTTGTTAATCTCATTACCACATCAAGTCATATTGAGAGGCTTTGTCTTTCATCTGAAGGAATCCACTAGGAGGTCTCCCTGCCTTGAGAAAGCACTATTACTGTTTATGCAGCAGGTCAGCCAAGGCCTGATAAGCTGAAATCTGAAAGCAAAATGAAATGGAAACTCAGCAGCTTTTTTGGGGCAAGCTGTTCTAACACTGTAGGTTTCTGATGAAAGTATGTCTTCTAAATTCCAACCTAAACCTTACCTAAGTTTCAGTTTGTGGATGTTTTCCTGCACTTATGTCATTCAGTGTAACTGAGAAGAGTCTGCAACATACCTATTTGTAAAGGAAGGTTTATGTTCTGTAGAAAGTAAGCTGATATGCATTGCTGAAGTGAGAGTTAAGTTATAGCTTCATCAGTCATTGATTAGCTTTTTACCTGGAGAAACACTGGGATATGTGTTGTGGTTTAACCCAGTAGGAAGTGAAGCACCGCACAGCCCTTTGCTCCCTCCCTCCACACAAGTGGAGTAGGGGAGAGAATAAAGGTAGAGAGGAATGTAAAACATATGGGTTGAAATAAGGACAGTTCGACCAGAAAGAGAACAGAAAATAAAAGGATATGCAAAAAAAGTGATACACAGTGTAACTGCTCACCACCACTGACCAAAGCACAGCCAGTCCATGAGTAATGGTGAGCTCCCCACAGTTTCATTCTGAGCACTGCCCTTACTGCTTCTGAGTAAAGGATATTATAATTTGTGTGTGTTGTGTGTATGCCAGAGATTTATTACAAACTAATAAACCGTAGTAAGAAAAGTGAGTAGTTAAGATACAGGAAAATAATTAATTTTAAAAAAGTTATTGTGTTGGTACATAACTGCATTAAAAAGATTTGGAAGCATATGTGGAATTTCAGATTTAAGATTACACTTAACATTTGCTACAGTTTTCAGGAAAAGCCTATCCACAGCATTGTGTTTCTGTCTTTTTATTTTTCAAGTAAGGAGAAAAGTAGCCTATAGTAATAGCCTTTTTTGAAGTGATAATGAAGGCAGTAACATTTTAAGACTCGTTCTTGACTAAACCCTATGCTTGTGTCAGGCTATTCAATGCATGATACTGTCATCATTTCAAAGCTTACTCAGTGATTCAGCTGGTATTTATCAGGCTCATAAATGCTCCCTTTTCTCTTCTTAAACCAAGATCTTACTCTCATTTAAAAATAAATTAGCTTCTCAGAAATTGACTATTTCCTGTGAACTCTGTAGTTGTTCTTAATATAACTGTTCTTGTTATATACTGCATTTTAATACGTACCATTCTTTGCTTTATTGGGTGCAGGTACAGCATTTCCATACCTTGACAGTAGTGGCATCATTCATATTTTGCTTTGGCAAAAGTGTAAAAATTAATTCCTTTTAAAACTTCCTGTAAAATGTTTTTTATATATCACAGGAAAAATAAATCTGTGCACTAATTCTCTCATACATTAGCAATTAATTATATTTACTTCTGGTATTAAGAAATTATAACAAATGCCTTTTGTAAGCTGCAGTATGCACAAGAACGGTTTTCTGTTGCAGTGCTCAGAGGCAAGTTTTATGCTGCACTGTGTTGTTTGTGCAAATCTGACTGGCCAGA